TGACTATCACGTGACCATATTTTATTTCTCTGCAAAACATTTACTTATGATCTGATCATATCTTCTTGCTTTCTTTGTTGTTCTCTGCCCCTAAGACATCACACATACATGATTCTAGCGTGGGGTTTTGTTTTTGTTTTTTTTTCCTGTATCTCTAGAACCTGAAAGTCCACTTGGTACCTTGAAGATGTTCTATACACATTTGTTGAATGGATTGATAAAAGTTTGGCTATAATGGAGAGTGGAGAAATAGCCCAATGCTTTTCAAATTTTAATATGCCTAGGAACCATATATTGGGGATCTTGTTAATGCTCTAGGGTTGAAGATTCTGCCTTTTTTTCCCCAAAGATTTTTAAATTTATTTATTTGAGAGAGTGAGAGCGTGCGCATTAGAGAGAGAGAGAGAGAGGAAACGAGCCAGGACACCTGACATAGGGCTTGATCCCAGGACCCCGGGATCATGAGAGAGAGAGGAAACGAGCCAGGACACCTGACACAGGGCTTGATCCCAGACCCCGGGATCATGACCTGAGCCAAAGGCAGACGCTCAACCAACTGAGCCACCTAGGCGCCCCAGAATCTGCCTTTCTAACAAGCTCCCAAATGAGGCCAGTGCTCCTGCTCCATGAATCACATCTTCAGTAGCAAAGCCCTTAGACCACATCGGTATGTTGCTTAGAATGAACAGGTGAAGAAAAGGAAATTAATGGAGCAGGAGAGAAGTGATAACTGTAGAAGCAAAGATTTTAGGAAGGCAGAGGGGAGAGAGTCCAGAGAACCAGCAGAGGGATTGGGTTTTCAAAGGCAACTCTCCAGGAAAGAAGAGGGGGTGAGAAGAGGAGGAAGCCCTCCATTGATGGTGTCTAACTTTTCAGTGAGGTCATCCGCTGAGAGCGAGGGTGGGAGTTCGGAGAGACTCTCATTTCTCTTCCCAGGCAGCATCCAGAATGCCTTGGAGTCTAGACCATAAATTGAAAGTAAAATACATCAGTTCGGTGCCATTTCCGCAGCCCTCACTAACAGCTTCCAAGTCTTCTTCTGGGGGATTCCAAAGTAAGGTATCTACCATTATAAACTGTGACACATGCCGTGGGGCAAGGTACAGGCTACTCTTCGTGGGCGGGGGGAGGGGAAAGGTTATCTGCCCCAGTGTCAAATGGGTCAGGGAAGCTGAGAAAGAGACCTGTGACTTGGGATCTAAAAGCAGAGCAGAAAGGAACATGGTGCATTTGAGGGTCAGAAAGTCCACAGCAGGGGACCGGGGCCATGGAGTGAAGCCCAAGAGGATAGATCCTGCAGGTAAGGAGTCTGGCACCTCTATGCAGAGAATGCTGCGAGGCCATTGAGAGGGCTGAGGCAGGCCGGTGACGAGATGGGATCTGCCCCCAAACAAGAAATAGAGAAGGAAAGGAGAAGGGGAGCGGGAGAGAGGGGTCCAGAGGCCTCTGCAGGGACCCAGGGCTTTGCACGTATGGAGTTTCAACAAATGTTTGCTGAAATGGAAGGTATCTATTAACTACACATTTGATTGACCAGAATACCCTATTGCCCGGCCAAAATGAATAATGGTTTTCCTTAATTCACGATGCCCCACTTAACTTTATGAGGCCTTTCTCTTTGGGACAGCACCGAAATGATAACTCCTTCCTACCTTTTCTCATTATCCACTGTCCTGTTTTTCTCTCTTCTTCTCTCTCCCACTTTTCCTTTACACCTCCCTGCCTCTCCTCTTCCCCAATTATCCTATTTAATAAAGTTGATCAGATCTCACAGTCTCCATTTCTATTAACTGGGGCATTTAACTCTTATCTGTGGCCCTCTTATTCATATTCAGACTCATATGCAGAGATGACAAACATCTGATGATCAGTGTGTTCTCACGTGTGGCCACTGTGAATATATTACTACCGAACACACGAGGAGATATTGAATGATATACACCAGTCAGCGAGTTTAGATTTAGGGAGCTGCAGAAAGTAACACAGGACAGAGGTCCAGGAAGGCTAAAACCCAGGCTGTAAATTACTCTCCTGGTATATGTTATAAATAGTCACCACTGTTCTCTTTTCTCTCTTGTACTCCTTTTTTCTTTCTTTCTTTTCTTTTCAAGATTTATTTATTTATTTGAGAAAGAGAAAGAGAGAGTGTGAGCGGGGCAGGGGCAGAGGCAGAGGGAGAATCCCAAGCAGATTCCCCCACTGAGCACGTAGCCCGATGTTGGGTTGGGCCGAAATCAAGAGTCAGACACTCAACTGACTGAGCCACCCACGCGCCCCTCTTGTACTCCTTTTTACAAAAATCTTGAAATCCCCTCTCATCCTCTTCTTCATCCCAGCAACTAAAGAAAAAAAGACACTAGGTGTCCGAGAATTTACATAATCTTTTATACCCAATATTTTTGTTGTCTTAAAGACAAATCTTCAGTAGTTGGTGAGGGTTATGTTTTGCAACAGCCTGGGGTGGAGAAGATCTGTTCCTTGGGTTTTCCATTTTTGCCCTGGTGTACCCTTTTGGCACATTCAACAGTCACCCCGTGCCCCTCAGCCTGTGCTCTGGCAGGATTTGAGACATGCAAATTGCAAACTGGTAAATAACAACTTTGCATATTTTCAATAGAAGGGAGCAACACCATACCACTCATTCTGTTCACAGGGAAATCTGAGATAATGGGAGTGAGAGCAAGGGCAGACCGAGGGTCCTAAGTGTTTTCTTCATAGTGTTTATTATGCTTATTAAATCTATTGTACAGTGATGAATTAATTTGAATTATTTACATGGTCAACCTTTGAGACAATAACCTGATTTAACCAGAGGATGCAAATGTATCATTTCTCTTTGAAATCTAAAAACAGGTTTAAACTGGAAGAAGCATCACGACTTGTATCTTTTCCTACAAATATTGGTTACACATCAGCAGTTGTCAGGTTAAATGACATAGTGTCAGAAATCAAGAGAATGTGGCAATGTATTTCTTGGGAAAGTCGATAAACTCCCCTGTGAGAACATGTCCCCTGGCCAGCCAACTCTTGGGTGACAAATTTCTCACGTAAGTCTTTCAATTCCATTTATCTGTAAGATATCCTGCACTGTCTGACATGAGGGCGTTCATCTGCTAAAATTTCAATGTAAAAGAAAATGACACAGTAAGAATGGTTGGATTTTCATTAGATTAGGGGGTCCAGTGTCATTTTAGTGAGTTTGGCCTGGTAAGAATGCTTTAGTTTTACAACAGAAGCTGTCAAGAATCTAAGGTTGCTGTCAAGTTGAAGGTATTATAATCCAGTTATTTTTGAAAAACTAGGTTTTCCATTATGACTTAGACAAAAATTGGAAATTTTTGTCCAAGCCTATTCAACTTTGGATTATTTTTTTCTTGTTGTTTGGATGCTTATAAGGAATTTTTGTGAACCGTAAGATCATGTGTGTTTATAAAGACAGAAGAGGCACAAGTAATTCTGAAGGTGGTGTCTTTCTGAGGTAGAGTGAACAGCTTGAGTCTTAAATATTTTATGAGATCTAGGTATTAGAACAATGTTTCTGATGCAGGAACACAACGATCTAGGAACAAAAGGGAGATGGGGCCAAAGAACGGACTGTGAAATTTCCTCAAAATATCAAGTGATCCCAAGGCTGAAAACAGCAATGGATGGTGATACTGCAGATTGTTCCTAATAAGGAATTTAAAAGCTTAATGATTTATTGATTGGATCTTCACTAATGATGTGCCCTTGACTCTGTGTGTGTAACTAAGAGGGCTGATTTATGAGGGTACAATCATATCTTTCAGATGTATTTGGTTCAAGTCTACATATTGAAAATAAATTGAAGGGTTGAGGCAATTACCAGAATATTTCAGGGGAGGAACGCCCACATGATTCATATGTTAGGTGAAGGCTAGTATATTAGGTGAAGAGAAAAAAAAAAAAAAAAACGAGAGAAAAAACTCCAAAGGGGGTTAGCAAAAAACAAGAGAGAAAAGCCTAAACTAAAAAAACAAAAAACCCCACTTCTGTTAAGAAATATCCCCTGCTTCTCTTAGTCTAAAAGAAGAAAAATAGATTCTCAGGTGCTACCAGGGAGCAATACTTTCCTTTCAAAGAAGAAGAAAGAAAAAGAAAAAAGAAAAGAGAGAAAAAAAGTTGTTCTGTTAAATCAGCTACACATGGAGTCAGTCTGTGTAAGGAAATCAGCCTTTTCATTACAAATGGGTTTAAAAAGCCCTGGAGAAGTGAGACGTGAACAGAAGCAATATTATCCACTAACAACCCAACTCTCTTTCAGACAGCTGAGAGAAGATCAGCAGCATCATTGAACAGGGGGTTTGTCTTAAGATAAAGACTCATCTTTATTTCTTTCAGGATATAAAACTTGTATTTAAATCAATTCAGAGAAGCACTTTAGCTTTAAACATTAGAGAGCGGGGAGAGCCTATTTAATAAAACAGCATTATTTCATTTTCAAAGAATGATACTGGCAGTAGCTCTGAGTTTAAATTCTGTATTCTTTTCCTCAATTATAATTATAGATGGGTCTGAAAGGAAGCATGCCTATTACTGTCATATTTATTCTTTTGACAGGTGTTATGGGACTGTAATTTGATGAAATGACTCAAAACGCAGATTCCCTTACAAATACAATTCTTGTCATCAACATGAGTGGTTTAGGGGAAGTCCTCCAGCAAGCCTTTTCACCAATCTTGAACACCCCTAATGTTTTAGCAGCGATCCATATTCAGAAACATGGGGAAGAGCCTGCCTTCAGGGCTTATATCCGAGGCAGCAACAGCCAGAAGGAAGAGTGGGTGTTTAAGGTAGAGAAGGCTGTTAGTGGGACAGCCTTCTTTTTCATCTGGGTCGGGTCGGGTCAGGCCAGGGGCACCCAGCCGGTCTCGCCTGTAGTTTCCCTATAAACAGACCCCAGCCCCGCACGCGGCCGGCAGAGGGCGCTCGACGAACAGCCGACTGGCGGGGGCGGTGCCGCGCCAGTCCCGAGGCGCAGGCGCACTCGTGGCTGCCGCGTCCGCCGCGTCCGGGGTTGACGTTCCCCAGTGGAGGCGGGTGAGCGGCGCGGCACCGGCGGAGGGCGGGAGGGGAGACGCGGGCGGGCGGGCGCACGGGGAACGGAGCCGCCCGGGGCGGCGGGGCGGGCTCGGGGTGTGAGGCCTCGGGCGTCCTCGGCCTTGCGCGGCGGGTGGAAGACCCAGGGGGCCCCGTGCCGCCCCCTTCCCTTCCCCGTCGGCTTTCGCGGCCTCGGAGGGCCCGGTGTCCCGGCGACGCGGGGGAGCGGAGCAGGCCCCAGGACGCGGGGAGGGCCGCGGGGAGCCAGGGGCCTCCAGACGCCTCTGCGAAATGCCCACTGTCTGGCACACACCTCCGCGCTCAGCCTCGGCTGGGCCATTTATAAAAGCAGACGGGGCCCCTCCACCGTCCATCTGCCCCGAGCGCGCGCTTGCCTGGAGTAACCTTCACGTTTTGATTGATGCTTCTGCATAACAGCAAGTCACGCTGAGTTCGAAACCCCTTAGTCCCCAGGACTGTTTTATTTGTTTTATTTTTTTAAAGATTTTATTTATTTATTTGAGACAGAGAGAATGAGAGAGACAGCACATGAGAGCGGGGAGGGTCAGAGGGAGAAGCAGACTCCCCGCCGAACAGGGAGCCCGACGTGGGACTCGATCCCGGGACTCCAGGATCATGACCTGAGCCGAAGGCAGTCGCTCAACCGACTGAGCCACCCAGGCGCCCTGTTTTATTTTTTTATATAGCTTACAATTCACTCATTTAAAGTGCACCGTCGAATGTCTTTTAGTATATTCAGAGTTGTGCATCCATACTCATAATCAATTTTAGAACATATTCATTGTCCCCAAAAGAAACCTCTCCTTTAGCTGTCACTCTCAATCTCCCCGCCCTGGGCAACCCCTAATCTACTTGTTGTCTCTATGGATTTGCCCATTCTGCACATTTCCTATAAATGGAATCATACAATAGTTGGTCTTTTGTGACTGGCTTCTTTCACTTAGAGTAATGTTTTCAAGGTTTACCCATTTTGTACCCTGTATCAGTACTTCATTTTTTTTAATTACAAAATAATATTCCATTGTATAGATGTACCATGTTTTATTTATCCATTCATCAGCTGATGGACCTTAGGACTAATCTTAACCCTTCACCTCTTTCCAAGGCCCTTCTGGATCTGACCCAGCCTTCCTGGCCAGCATCCTGTTTGCTCCCCCTCTGGGCTCCTGTGGGATTAGCAGTCCCTTCCTCCCTTAGGCCTTCATGCAAGCTGCCTCTGCCTTTACTGCCCCTTCACCAAATCCTACTCCTTCAGACCTCAGATTTAATGTCCTTTTCTCAAGAAACCTCTGACCCTTGACTGGGTGAGGGGCCCCATGAGCCAGTCTCTCAGGGACCTGAATTCCACTTTGTAGCAATTAGTTATAACTGAATAATTAGTTTTAATTTTACGTTAATATGTAAGATACACGCCATCAGGGGCTTCTGTTTGTTTCTGTAACCCCAGTACCTGGCACCTTGTTGGTGCTCAGTGACTATTTCAATACATGGGCACACATGCCTACCATGTATCAGGCACTGCCATACTATACTAGGGACACAGCCATGAACAAAATAAACTCCCTCCTGTATGGGGTTTACATTCCAGTGAGGGAATACAAACAAATGTATGTCAGGTGGTGAAGAGTGCCATGAAGAAAGATGGAAGGGACTGCAGAGTGGTCAGGGAAGTCCTCTTAATGAGACCTGGATTCCTCTGGGGCAGAGCAACGTGGGTTTCTGGAAGAGTAGTTGGGTAATGGAGGGAGGGAGAGCATGAGAGAAGGATAAATCCAGAGCTTTCAACTCAAGGGTCCTTTTGAGATGAGCCCTGCATATGTGTAGAAAGAGCTTGTGGGGAGGGTAGAGACCTGGATCCAAAGCCTAGCTACGCTCTCACCTAGTTCTGTGTGACCTGGAGCCTCAGTTCTCCTCCTCTGTAAAATGGGAGTAATAGGGTTGTAGATGAAGTAGCCCCTGTGAAGTACCCAGCCCCGTGGCTGACACCTGGCAGATGTATAATGGTTCCCTTCTTTCGCCCTCAGTCCACAGTGGTGTGTTGTGGCCTGTGTGTGGGAGGCCATTGGCACAAAGCAGTCTAACGTCACAATGACTCAATTCACGATGCTTGTTGCTCAGCTCTGAGACCAGCATGTTAGCCTTTTGTCTGATTTTTCCAGTTTGCTTTGACTGGGCTAGCTCACCAGGTTCACTTGCAACTGGTAAACTGGCTCAGGGTGGTTGAGCTGACACAGGGGATGTTCAGAGTAGCTCCTTGGGCCTCTGAGAGAGACCGCAGGTGTGGGAGAAAGAGCTGAGGACCCAGAGCCAGGGATTCAGGGTTTGAGACCTGGCACTGCCACCTGCTGGCTTTGTGATTCCAGGACAGCCACTGTCCTGGCTTTAGTGTCCTCTCTCGTAAATGGAGGTCAATCAACACAAATTTATAGAAAGGATTACAGTGTGAGACCTTATTAGAGGAGTATGGGCAGCGTGGGGTGTGAGCCTTGAGAAGGTGACGTGGGAGCTAAATCTAAGGATCAAGAGGAATTCTTGAGGCAGGCAAAGAATCCAGCGTAGGGGGAAGAGAGGCGTTGAAGAGCACAGCGCGTTTCAGAGACACGATTAACAATAGTTCCCAAGTGCCTCGTATGTGCGGGGCACCGTGCTAAGTGGATTAGGAGCATTATTTAATCCTCACAACGATTCTGTGCAGGAGATACTATTAGTTGCCCCATTGACAGATGTGCAGCTGACTCTGAGGTGGAAATTGAGAAACGTGCCCACGTCCCACAGCCGGCCAATGATGGAGCCAGGATTTGAACGTAGACTGCCTGTTCCCAAAGTCCATGAACTTAGCCTCTAAGTTCAGTATGTGGCTAGAATGCAGGGAATGTAGACAGCAGGAGATGAGTTTAACGAGAGAAGTTGGAAGCAGATTTGAGAGGGATAAAGAACACTCCACAGAGGTTCTGGAGAAGGGGGAGTGACATGGTGTGTTTTTTAGGAAGTATCCTTGGGTCGGACTGGAGAGAGCCATATTCGGATAGTCCGACCAAGGCATTGTTACAAAGCTGGGAGCCCAAGTACTGCCCAGGTGCATGGTGGGGGTGGGGAGGGGACTCAGGACAGGGAGGGTGAGGGGAATGGGGAGTCTGGGTCTTGAGAGCCTTGACCATGAAGGAAAGGGACTGAAGGAGCATGGACTGCTGCCCCCCTTCTAGCTTGGGAGAACGTGCGTGTGCAAGCTGGAGCCCCGGAGCTGGGGGAGCAGAACCACTCTGCTTCTATATTGCGACTTTCCCCATCCAGAGAAATAATTGCATATTTAAACAATGGCCTGCGCAGGCTTAATTTAGCCTTGTATCAGTGTTTAATAGGGCATAATTTCTGGTCATGTTCTCTAGTTCCATTCTTTCTTTCTTTTTTTAAATATATGACTTTTTCCCACTTATTTTTAGGTGCCCTATGTCAGGGCACAGGGTAGGGAAAGAGCCAAGGGGGTTAAATGGGGCTGTAGGCCTATTTCTCAGCATCTGTACCAGTGATATCCCTTGGCTCCCAGGAAATTCCCTTTGTGGCTTTATTCTCACTCTTTTCCTTTATTCTGTTACATTCCCCTTTGGGTTTTCTAAGAGCTTTTTTAGTATTTCCTTAGCTGCCTCCTTTTCTTTGTCTGTGTAATTGACATCAGCCTTGTGACTTTTTTTTTTTTTTTTTTTCATCTTTATGCAGCGGGAGGCTATAGATGATGTCCTTGGGTTTCAGAAAAGCATGGAGAAAAGTTTTACGGAGAAGGTTGAAAAATAAGTACGGGATAATAGCACAGTCAAGTGCTTTCATGAATGCGGACCTGGTCCTGAATGAGCCCCAGGAGAGTTCTCTGTGGGGTCCTTAGCCCTGATCCGGGCAGCATTCTGTGGATGGCTTGGATACGGACATAGCAGGTAGTGTTAGAAGCAGGTAGGGGCACGGGGCAACAGTCCTTGGTTTGATTCCTGGCCTTACCATCTAATAGTTGGGTGGTCTCTGGCAAGTTTCTTACCCTCTCAGAGCCCCAGTTTTGTCATCTATAGAATGGGCTAATGATACGTACCCTGTAAGATTGTTGTGAGGGTACATGAAGTAACACATGTGAAGCTTGCAACACCTTCCTGGCACATACTGATCACTCCCTGAATGGTAGGTCATGAGACATGGCATCAGCCATGCAGAAAGCTCGAGGTAGGACAGCTCGGTAACATGTCAGGCCATCCATATTTGGTCCTAGGGCCGAGCCCAGAGCCACACACGTGCTAGATGCTCTGAATGGCTTTGGATGGGTGACTGACACAGCTCGCTGGGGTTAATGTCTCTCTCTTTGGACCCCCTTTGTGCCCCGGATGGGATAGTTTCTGTGCTTTTGTTGTGCTGAATTGAGCGGAGTTGGATAACAGACAGGGCCAGGTACCGCAGAGATTGTGGCAGATGGTGACTCTGGACTAAACTAATCAAATACAAGATGAGAAACAGATTTAAGAAGAGTTCATGGAAAAAAGTTTCCTCTGAGCTGAATGCCAGGGTCACATGGGGGCCCAAGCAGAGAATGCAGTCTGAGCGGCCTTCCTTGAACTGCCTGGTAAAGGAGGGGACATTGCCACCTGAGCTCCAGGACCCACGGACCTGGTCAGGACCCAGGAACACTGTGGCTTTCCCACTGGACAAAAATCTAAGAGTGAAACCATAATAAGGATGTGTGTGTGTCCTGAGGAGCGTGAGTGGGACGGGGAGGCTCTAGGAGAGGATAGCACCTTCAGGGTGGGGATCTTGGAAGAGAATGACTGTGGGGCTGGGGTCCCTGGCTGAACAATGACAGACTGGCCTTGGGGGTCGGGTAGGGAGACTTGAGCCCCGGAGGGCAGAACTCAGATCCATGAGTGAAGTTTACAGGGCAGATTTTAGCTCAGAAGCAAAGGCAATCTGTGACAGCTCTGGCTCAATGAAGTGGAGAGCTCAGACTT